TCAAATTCATGGAGGAGTTATGCATCACACCTGGGACTGAAGTGGACGTAATTTCCTGGTAAACACAGAGGAAGATAACAATATGAAGTACTTTTATGGGTTTACAATAGTTCTTCTGCTCCTAGCACAACTGTGTCATTCTTTGGATTGTCTGAATGCAGAAAAACAGAGAGTAAGCAGAAGAGGCATTTACTGGTTCAAAAGGCAAATTATGAATATTTATGAGAAACATTCAGAGTCTTTAATTGATAGTTAAAAGTGGGCAGGGTGAAAACGTATTTCTGCTTCGGTCTTTTATAGAGTTATGTTCCAAAGTATTTTCTGAACACAAAATGTTACAACAGAGATAAAGTGACTCACACACAACCAGAGAAATACTGGCTAAAGTCTTCTGATATACAGACATCTCGTAACTTTAAAAAGTCTCCTCTGCAACAGAAAGAAAACAAGGAAGTCTTGCTTGCAGCTAAAAGCCTACAGAAGAATGTTTTCAAGATGGTATGAGAAGATGCACATAAAAATTCCATTACTTATTAACAGGATTTTATCTCCGCATTTCAAGTATATCATTTTGGAAAATATATTTATTATTAATTTGTATTGTATTTACGTATTGCCTAGAAGCCAGCGTGTTATTGTGCTAGACATTGTACAAACATATAACAAAGAGATGGCCCCTGCCCTGAAGAGTCTACAGTCTAAAGAGAGCTTGCATTCTAAATCTAGGTCCTGCAAGTAGAATGTGTGTGTTCCTGCACCCACACAGAGCCCTACTGATTTCATGCAGGCACAGGGGTTCCCTCACACATTGTAACAAGCAGGATCAGGACCTTAATCTACAAAGACAAATAGCTTATATATTGCTCAAAGTGTGGTCCCACACTCTGAAAAATGTTAAAATTCGCACCATGGGTTTCCATGTTTACTGCCTCATAATTAGGGTGACCAGACATCCTGTTTTTAAAGGGAGGGTCCCGTATTTCAGCCCTCCTGCGGGTGTCCTGACTTTTTTTTTTACAAATGGGCAAATTGTCCCGTATTTTCTGTCTCCCCCTCATCAGTATTGGCGGGGCCTGTGCTGGCCGGATCCCTGCTCAGCAGCTGCCCGCCCAGCAGTGGTGAGTGTGGGGGTAGGGTCCAGTGGCAGACTATGGGAGTGGGTGTGCAAGGCTGGTGGCAGGGGGAAGCTGCAGCGTGCAGGGCCGGCCGCTCCCTCTGCTGGTGCGTCAGCACAGTCCCCACTGTGTGATGTCTCTCGGCCAGCAGGGCTCCGCCCCCCTGTCCCATTTCCAGCCGGCTCTGGCTGCGTGCTGCTGCGGCCGGTGAGTGCGGGCAGGCGCCAGGTAGCATCCGGTTACGTGTCGCCTCTGCTGCCCACCCATCGGCTGTTTAGGTGCTCCCCCTCTCGCTGCCCTCTCCCCTGCTTTGCCTCTTTACCCACCCTCCCAGCCTGGCTGCTCCTCCATATCCCGCCCGGCGGGTGCGTCCTGCTCCCAGCGCTGTGCAGAGAACCAGCCCATGTCCAGAATGCTCAGCTCACCAATAGCCTGGCCAGCAGGCTCCCTCCTTCCCCCACTGCCCCTGGCTGGGCCAGCACCCTGGGAAAGCCCAAGACCCTCCGGCCCGGAGCACTAGCCAGGAGGAGCCAAGCCCTGCATGGGCCAAAGCCCTGCACAGCACTGGCACAGGGATGCCTCTCCGCCCCTCAGCTAAGCTCTGGAGTGGCTGGGGAAGGAGGGAAGCAATTTGCAGCCTGTTCACACCCCAACCCTGCAGGCTCCACAGCAGCCCCCCGGGGCAGAGGTTTAGCACCCTCTTCACCTGCCCCTCCCATCCTGGATCCTACCCCCAGGCAACAAGGGGCTGCTTCGTCCCCTAGGCACCCTCCTTTGCTGAGCCACCTCTCTGGCTAGTTCGCTGAAGCCCCTGTAGTCAGGTTCCCTGGGCCCTGGTGCACAGTGCATCCTTAGGGCTTAACCCCTTCCTGCCCATGCTGTAGCCAAGGGACAGGAGGCAGCTGGGTTATGTCGCTGGCCAGCAGCAGCCTGGAGGTGTTAGCTGCCTTTCGACATTGCAGGCAGGAAGGGACAATCTGCTTCCGGCCACAGGGGAGCGGGGGTGAGAGATGAGCTCTGCAAAGGCACAGGCCAGGTCATCCCTTCCCCGTCCTCCTCCCCTGAGTCTGGAAGCAGCTCCCGTCCCTTCCCTCTCGCACTGGGATAAAAATCCAGACAACTCCATTGCATAGTAGGAACAAACTTCAGTGCAAGGTTCATATTACAAAAGTATTACCAACTCTGTATAAGTATCTGACAGAGAAAGGACTTCCCTTAGTTAATTATACTTAGAATGAGGAAGATTAACCTAACCTGGATTTCTGTGTCCACTAGAAATAGATTTCTAGGTGTACCCCATCCCATTGATATGCTTTGTGAATGCATTAGATAGGAGTGTGTTCTTTTTTTCCTCCTCTAATTTTTTTTTAACATGAATTTAGTGTATGTGCATTGAACGTCCTCACTTTAGATCCATCCTGCAAACTGAGGCCATTCAGTACCTTGCAAGGGTGCTAAGTGTGGTTCAAGCCTTTTACCTGCAGGACATTTACAGTACAGGTAACAGTAGAATTACCAGCTTCCCACCCATGTGCTTCACATCTGATCACGGAGAATTCAATGCATTCTTGCCTTAGCATATTTCAATGGGGAGGTGTCTACACTTATGTAAAACCTGTGTCAAGGAGGCCCAATATATTTTGCACTGGGTTTAATACAATCAGTTAACAAGCGATGAGTACTATCATTCCTACAAGAGATACCAATTATGTAAGGTTAGTAAGGTGAAAGTAAATATCCCAGACTTCAAAAACCATGAATCCCATCAGCCCAGCAATAAGACAAGACAAAATGCCACAAACTCTATGAGGAAAATTCCACCTGTATCAGCAGATTCCATTGCTGCAAAATATAACACATCAATTCAAACACAAGAATTAAAAGGTACAAAAACAAACCTGTTCCATACTTTTGCTGCTTTGCAATGAGACCATCTCCTGTCCTTCCAGAGCATTTACTGCTGAACCAAATGCTGAGTGACAGTTTTGTTCTTGTGCTTTTAGTTTTATTTCCAAAGTGGTGATAAACAAGCAGAGTTTCTGTTTCTTTTCTATGTGAAATGCACTTTTCAATTGTACTCTCCTTGCTTTTTTCCCCCATCACCTGCTTTAGGTATTGGCTTTCTTCAACAGTGTCAAGTGATGTCCTTCCTTTTTAATGCCTAAACATCTTTTTGCAATGAAGACGTCTTCGTTCCAAGTTCCATCACTGCACTGCTGAAGTCTTTAATTAGATAGGAAATTTCTCTATCGTTTAAAAAGACACGTTCTCTAAACACTCCATTTTCTATTTGATTCATGCACACTGTAGGGGGTCAGAATTTTCCAGCCTATTGGATCATGCCTTTGACTTGCTTGTATATAAATTCAATTGTGCTTTGTGTCATTAGAACAAATCATCTTCCTTCTGTTTAGCTCCCCACATAAACCAGTTTTTCTTGCATAATAAGCCTCTTGGAGTCTCAAATTTCTTCAGCAGCTAATCCTGACTGATATCTTTATTTGAAGTCTATGTTCATCTTATTTCATAGCCCAACCAATATCTAGGTGGATCCTCCTACTCTGAGACTTCTAGTCCTCTTTCACATCTAGTATTCAGCTCCCATCATATACCTTTCCATCAGTTTTTTTGTCATTATCATTTTGATCCTGCCTCTCAAGTGCTAGAAACTATGAGAACTACCTCTATTTCTTGATATTGTCTTTCCAGATCTGATATAATGCATTATAATTTATTTTCCTTCCTTTGACGATAGGATCTCTGTTGACATTCTAATCACTATCCACCTTTAACAACTTTCCCCATATTTGATTATTTTTAATCTGTAATTTCATTTTGTCTACTAGTTCAAATGGTCAATGTTAGCATTTATGTTTATCTAACTCTATTGGTTGGGGTAGTGTCATGTTTACTTCTTTGTGGTTAATGTAATTATACTTTCCCTTTATTTCCCCCCGGAGCCTATTGTGTTTCTCTTTGTATTCCCTTTCAGATATTTATTTTACCTTCATGTTCCTCTACTTGGTTATCCCTCTCCTATGTTGAAATTTTAGGTCAATCTGCTCTTCATGCTTTAAGACATAATTGACTGTGGTGTACTGTCTGCTCTGCAGAGTCACATGTGCTTTCCTGAGCTTCCATTTCATCTCAAGATCATTCATTCTTCCAATGAAATCCTTCTAAGTGATTGCTTTATTTTCAAGTGGCATTCAAAGATTTGATTCTCTGATGCAACTCCTACTCTCCCCACAGTTTTACTTTATCCAATGATTCTAGCTCCTTCTCTTGCTGCATGTTTACCTCTCCATGTCTCAGAGTCAACCACTAACTTCTGAGAACTCCAGTTCACCTATTCGGTTGCTTTCTCTAAACAGTGATTTCCTCTCTTTTCCTATCTCTGTGGTTTCAGACTCTAACAATTTAGTATGAATTTTACCAGTGTGTTTTTAAATCTCTATTTCCAATTTTGTACAGTTTTTCCCCCTTCAGATATTTACTATGGCATTTATTGTCAGCATTTAACTTTTATATATATATTTTAAAAAGGAGCTTCTGTAGTTCTTCGGTGAAATACAAACCACCTTTGTTGAAAGCATGCAATATGGAGACACAAAGGACATGGTATTATAAGGACATGGTATTATAATAAAACCATTTGGTTGATAATAGTTCACAAAGCAGCCAGTAATTGCACTTGATATTTTTCCCCAGTGTTTGATTCGTTTTTGTAAATTCTGTATAGATTTTTTTAGCGTTCATGGTGTGCTGGTCCTTATCCGATTATCAAATCATTCCAGTTTGAAACTATATCTTTATAAAATTCCTAATTTTAATTCAAATATCTTGCAGCTTGAAGTATTATGCAAATGTTTCATGACAAAAATGCTCCAATTTAAAGCTGCTCAAATAATTATTTTCTGTTTTTTGCACATGGATTCAGTTGTTCACTCCATAGGCTCTTTTAATATCCTACAGGACAAAGAGAACATTATAAGTTAAATCTGCTTTATTTAGAAATTTATGTTGGCACCCATCCCAAGCACCCAAACATCACAACAACTTCTTAAAGGATGGAGATCCTTCTGTCTTTACAACAGAAAGCATCAAAGATTGGCATCACTAATAGACTTCAAACTTCCCTGCTTGTCGTCACCATGAGGCGCAAGAATTCAGCTTAAAGTTAGCTGAATGCAGTTCCCTTAATGAGACTAAGATCTTCTCTACACACAAAAGTTGTTTTACTATTGTTGTTTACTACTACTATACCAGAGTAGTTAAAGTGGTACAACTCCCCCAGTGCAGATGTAATACTACTACTATAAATGTACTAAGGCCTGGTCTACACTGGGGGCGGGGGAGTAATCGATCTAAGTTACAGAACTGCAGCTACGTGAATAATGTAGTTGAAGTCGACGTATTTAGATTGACTTACTGCAGTGTCTTCACTACGGCGAGCCGACTGCTGCCGCTCCCCCGTCGACTCTGCCTGCGCCTCTCGCGGCGCTGGAGTACAGGAGTCGATGGGAGAGTGCTCAGAGATCGATTTATCGCGTCTAGTCTAGATGCGATAAATCGATCCCCGCTGGATCGATCACTGCCCGCCGATCCAGCCGGTAGTGAAGACATACCTTTAGATAGCTTATTCCTGTATGGGAAGGGGAATACGCTATATCAGTATAAGGCACCTATATACCACTATGACTGCATCCACACTAGTGATTGTTCCAGTATAACTATAGCAGTTAAAAACCCTCCTAACTGGCATAACTGTACTTCTACAAAAATTCTGTACAGACCAGGCCTGCAACTATAGCTAGAGCTGGTCAACGTTTTATTTTTAATTTTCAAAATTGCAAAAAATGTTTGGTGACTTTTTTTT